GAAAGTGGCATTCACTGCACATGTGAAACTTGTAGGGGAGCTGAAAAGGTGCGGTTTTTGAAGTCCATGGGTGTCGATCATGTAGTAGACTTGAGCAATGAGAATGTCATTTCCAGTGTCAAGTTGTTTTTTCAAGGCAAAGAAGCTTAAAGGGGTTGATGTATTGTATGATCCAGTAGGAGGCAAGCTTACAAAAGAATCAATGAAGCTTCTCAAGTGGGGAGCGGGTGAGATCCCATTGATACCTGCAAATATTGCTCTTGTGAAGGTGCGCCAGTTGGAACGTTTCGTCTTTGCAGTCAAACTATCTTGTTTTCTTCTTGTTTATTTCAATTATCTATTTAATCGAGATGCTTGTCTTAATTTTTGAGTGGAAGCTTCGAGTGAGAAGTGACGGAGACTTGTGGGTTTGGAAGTATGGACAGAATGGCTGGCTGAAAAATTGTTAAAAGTTTATGTCTCATTCATGGCCTGAATTCAGTTACTCGTGGACATGACTGAATTTCAACTGAATCGAGGCTCCCTATCGTAGATAATCAGAATTGAAGGAATAAAGTGCTCCGGTAATTGAGTTATATTGTGATGGAGATAGCTTGAAACGATTATATGAGAGTATGGCAGTAGCTTCTCTAAGTCATGGGGATGTTATCTTTAAGGACTCGGGTAAAGTGCTGATTTGTGCTAGACCATTGCTCGCTACACTATGCGGTGTCTGTGAGAGGCAGGAACAGAGATTCCTTTATGGTTAGATTGTCTTGCTTGCTTTGAAACAGTGAAATGAGAGAACACCGCAGATATTAGCTCACCAAGCAAATGAGCCAATACATATCCATTGAGGAAACTGGTGAGTTTACATTTGCAGACCAGTTTGAGAAGAAACTGGGCGGGTCGTTCAAGAAGCTGATGTAGATATTTTCAACGACACATTTAAGCAATAGCAGTTTGGCCTTCCCCTTTATTTGCCCTTCCAGCTCAAATCACGGTGTGCTTCTTTTCAGTATATTTCCTTCTGGTGTAGTTTGACTTTTCTGCTTCGAACCAGAACTGGACGGTGCATGGACTGTATTGGGGCAGCTACAGAATCCATTGACCCCGCGTTCTTGAAAATTCCCTTAGGGAGTTACACTCCTGGTTTGCAAAAGGTTTGATCACTGACCAGATTTCTCATGCTTTTGCACTGTCGGAGGTCAGGAGAACCCCAGACTCTCATCATCGTTCTTATCACTTTAATGAACTTCAATTAAATCTCTTCATGTTTGACAGGCCAACCTCGCGTTCGCTGCTATCAAAGACCGGAAAGTGATCGGGAAGGTGATGGTCATTTGCGAAGGTCCTGGAAGCGCAGATCTGAAATTTGACATGACGATGAGGCAATGCAGGGATGAAGAATAATACTTCAGAATTATACTTCTACAGCTCTTCAAGATAAGTCTAGTGTCTGTACTCTGTATTTGTTGCATGTTTGGCTTCTGTAATTCACCTAAGAAACAACTTTCATACCAAGGAGAATTACTCGGTCAAAACTCACTATCCATCTGTTGGTTAGATAGTCTGAATGTCACCCTCATTACGCGATAACGATTTGCTTTAAATCTTGATGGGGCTTCGACGCCTTTTCAGGGGAATATCATCGTGTTCTGTTTTAGGCAATCCGACCGAAGGCGAAAGGACACTAAAGTAGGAATTAACATAGATGTTCAAGTGGAGATCAAACCCAAATTTGGGCCAATCTAGAGCATTTTTTTCCTGGTCCAAAAGGCTTATGACGAGGTTCAAACGTGGTCGAACGGCATGGTTTAGGCATTCATTAGGCACAGCCCAATTGAGAAAACCCAATAAGGTGAAAGTTGGGATCGCTTACGTCGTCTCAAGAAATCATGAACACCAAATGTAGGTCGATTTGACATTGGTCGGTCAAGCATTCAAGTCGCACATGATTTGCCTAAACATCTCAGGGTCTCAAGTTACTTAAAGAGCACGGTATCCCACTTATCCTCACCAAAAAAATTTTTCACCATTGTTTCGATTGAAGAATCGAGTTGTATCGAAATAGACGTTTTGCACTTCCGAAAGTGCAAAGTTTCGTATTCAATGAGCGACGCTGAGTAGATTAATAATTATTTTGTGCACATGGGGTGGAAGGCTATATACTCATTGAAAAAATTACTAAAAAAGTCATAAACTTATTGCACATGTGCCAATTCAATCCCAAACATTTTAATTTGGTCAATTTAGTCCTAAATATTTTAACAATTTGCCAATCTAGTCTTTTCGATCAATTTTGGTAAGAAATTACTGAAATGGCAACCTAGTCAGCATCGATCGTCTATCGTAACACATTGACACTAACATAAACAATTTTATAAACTTTTATGAATTTATTGTTATTATTATTTTTTTTGTCTTCTTTTCATTGTTCTTTCCTTTTTTTTTCTAAACCTGGGTCGGCAACCCTCACCTATTGGCCAGCGAGGGCCATGACACCCTTACTTAGTCTAGGCAAGGGCTATGACCCTCGTCCGTTGGCCAACGAGGGTGTCGCAACCCTCGACTGGATTTGGGCAAGGGCTACAATTGCCTTGCCTCAATCTGGGTGAGGGTCGCAATGCCCTTGCCTTGACCAATGAGGGTCGACCGCCGAAGATTTGGGAAAAAAAAGAAGAAAAAAAATCAAAAAGGAATAAAAAATCAAAAAAATTAAAACAAAATTAAAAAAATTATCTACGTCAGTGCCGATCACACGTAGGACAGTCAGCACTGATTAGATTACCACGTTAGCGATTTCAGGTCAAAATTGGCAAATTGTCAAAAATTTTAGGACTAAATTGACACAATTGAAATATTTCAGACTAAATTGACAAATCGCCAAAATGTTTAGGTCTAAATCGGCCAAATTGAAAGGTTTATGACTAAATTAGTACAAGTGCAATAGGTTTAGAAATTTTTTTGGTAATTTTCTATGAGAATATATAACTACCAAAGAAGACTAGAGAACAGGGAAAATAATAATAAAAATGACTTGAGATTAAGAATTTCCACAAATAACACAAGTATAACCATCATGAAAGCATCATGAGAGATGGCAAGTTAAAACTTGAAAATATGTCAAGCTTTTCCTTCTTCCAATATCATTCTGAGAGATGACAAAAGAGAGATTTCTTTCAGTACCAGGTTGTAAAAAGTAATATGACCTGCATATAATTTCCTTCATTATTTACCATCTATAACTCTCAATTTGTCAAACAAACCATAATTATCAATTGACTTCGTCAGCCTCAATAAGTTTTCTTTTTTTTGGCTGGAAAGTCAGCCTTAATGAGTTGTTTTAATATTACATAAATGTATTTATGGCGAATTTTACATACAATTAGGTTTTTATTGCAGTTTAACTACTGCAAATTAGGTTTAAAGTTAATAACGGAAAATTTGTAGGCAATATTTTCCTAAATAAAAGTACGTGCACCTGCATTATGCATAAAATTAGTACAGAAATAGGATTAAGGAAAGAACCAAAATTACTCAATCAAAATGGCAAAAATGCACGGAAAAGAAACAGCATAAGTGTATTTAATAACAAGAAATGTTAAATGTGCAGTCTCAGTTATAGTTTGCGGACCTTTGATGTATGTCATGTCTCAACTAGGGCATAGCCTGAACATTTAATCAGTAGAAGAACACAAATAATGATGAAATGGCAAATAATATACAAGGTTAGTAAATTTTGAAGCTTAAATTTAAACTTTGGGCCTTCTTTATTGTAGATTGAGCTTTTCAAAATTCTAATAAGTTCAAGTTTGCAGTTTTAAATATTTCAGAAGGACAAAACTCACGAAATAGCAACGCCAAATGTATATTTCATGCAAAAATAATGAAGGCACACAATTTTGCAAATTGAAAATCTTGAATGAAATGGGGATGCGCTGTCATTATAGTCTCAGTGCTCTTTGAATTGTGATTCACACAGAATATACAAGGCGCCTGTTGTGTTACACACAAAGTTGATAAACATCTACTGATTTGCATTGTCATCCATGTTGGCAACTTGGCAAAGGACCATTTCAAATTATTTTAACCTTCTTTGATAGTTTAAAATGCAAGTGCTAATACCCATTAAAAAAAGACCACACCATATAGCATTTAAAATCCTAAAAATGCTGTATTCGTTTATACATAACTTTCAGTCTACCCCACCACATTGCCAGGTTTGATGTGTGCACAATTTCAACAAATGTCTCAAGTATAGTACCAAGGCACGTAATCAAGAGTGGGATTGTGGACCAGAGTAGTACTCTCCCCTTTCCAAAGACTTACCAGAGACATGATCTGTGCTAGTCATACTGTCCCTTCTCTCACATTATGAGGAGAAAAGAATAATAACAAAAAATAAAAAATTTAACTAGAAAAAAAAAGTGAAAATAAATAAGGATTCTATTAACGAACGAATGTCGAGATACACTTATTGAATAGCATTTATTTTGACCAAAAAAAATAGCATTTAGGAAATTTTGCAATTTTCAATACATTGATTGCCTTGTGTTATCCATGATCACCATCTTGAAAATTTAATAATTCCAACTAAACTGCACTTTACGAGGGCACAAGATCCAACGAAGTAAATACAAAAGCTTTCTTGTTCAGTGAGTTAATTTGAGATGCAAAGCATTAGAGCATTCCAGGTAAAGAACAGACTGTAATTTTCCTTCAAGAAATTAAGGGGACAGTATCTGGAAGGAGCAAAGTGTTCCTGTCATTAAATTATATACTTGCATGCACGTCCAAATCATCGAGCAGACCCTCCAAAAACAAAGAAAGAAAAAACAAAAGCTGGAAATAGTTCACAACAGCTTCACACATGCATGTAATAAGTACACGAACGATGATCCTCAAGAGCACAGCATTCCCTAACTAGCCTGTTGCAAAATGGCTATACACTACGAAACGCTGAACATGCATGCCACATTGGGGTTCTGTTTCTTCATTTAGCAAAGCAAGGCTGCTGGTGCAAATAAAAACCCTCGAAAACATGACCCATTGAAGAAGACGGTGACGATGGTCATGGCGAAGGTTGGGACGAGAGAACATCATCGTCACGCAACCCAGAGAGACCAAATGGCACACGTAGTACGTCGTACACACTGTCCATATACAGTAAGAAGAACAACCAGAAGATCGACAGATATAAACTGGACCCGACTCAAATGAAAAACCCTAGAGCAATCAGTTTCTCACATTTCCTTGAATGGGATTTCTCAGAAGTTTTCTCCTGTCACGAAAAAGATTTCTCGCTCTCTTTCTTCTTTTCAAACTTACATATCTCTCTGCCAAAAGCCCAAACCAGACCAGAAGCACCAGAAAATAATGCGGGAATTTTCCCACCAACCACACATGTACAACACCATTTTTTTGCCTCTTGTTTCTCCATTAAATGGAGCCGTGTACGTGGTAAAAAAAAAAGCACCATCATATTGCCTGCTGTTTAGTGGCCGAGAGACACAAGCACACACCAAAACCCTCCAAAAAGAAAAAGACAAAAGAAAACACCCGCAAGCATAAGGAAAATAAGAAAGAAAGAAAGAGTAGAGATGGAGAAAAAGGAAGTTAGAAGAAGATTTAGATATGGTTGACATTGTTAGAGAGACCTGTGTTCGAGGATATTGACGTTAGTCCTTTGCCTCTTAACATTCCCAGAAGAGGACTCATCGCCCCCACCAGCTTTCTCTATCACCCCTTTGAGTGCCTCCTGTATTGAACTTATTGAGTACTGTTGTATGTGTTGCTGCTGTTCTTGGTGCTCTCCATTGTTGCCGCTCGAGTCGTGATCGTGATCACCGGTGACGAACAAGACGTTCCTCATGCGCCCACCAAGCGTGGTGATTTCAGCCTTCAGCGTTCTCAGCCGCAATGCCTTCAAGGTCTTGATGAGGTCAGGCAAGAGGTCGGACCGGTCCTCGCAGCACAGTGACGCCTTGATCACGAGCTTGCCGTCAACTTCTTCGTCCGACGCGTCCACTGTGAGCTCGTCGGTCTCAGTCGGGATCAGGCTTGTCTCGGCGATCAGGGACGTCTGGCGCTTCAGCTCCTTCACGTGCTGGATCACTTCCGCGAGCAATGAGGCCTTATCGGTCTGTTCGTATCACATCAAAACAAAATAAAGAAATAGGAATGAGAACAGTTGCTAGACAAAAGGAAGTCATTTTGCATGGTTTTCCATATAGCAAGTTAAGTGTATTCTCCTACCATCTAAAGGTATGAAACGAAGCATGCTTATCATGTAAATGACCATCTTGGTTTTAGAATACCTTATTGACTGAAGCATAAAAAATGGGAACGGAAGCTTGCATTTTCATGGTGAATCTTTTTCTTTTACCCTTGGAGAAAGGTAATCTTGTGCAATGGACTGACAAGAATGCTAGCTTGTCTCTTTCCTCTTTATTTCTTGTCATTCTTTGTTTATATAAACAAGAAAGGCAAAAAAGAAGGGGACTCGGAGTGATTGATATCCGGCAAGAATTATCCATGGGAAGCCTTTTCGACTGCTAAAATGGTTTCTCTTTATCGTGTCAGCCCAGCGACATTAACGCCTCTCTCCCTTTTCGATTATCGTCTCCTCGGAACTACCACCGAAGATTCGGAGATGGAATACCAAAAGTGTTGAGTAGCAAAAAGGAAAAAGAAAAAAACATAATCTTTGTCATTGATCAAACAAAAAGGAAACGGTGGGTTATTAGCAATATATGGGAGAGTGCAGTTTTTTATGTCTAGAGAGATAGGTTTTGGTTTGAAGGGCACTGTCTATGTCTATGTCGTCTAATATGTCTACCGAGGAACTAGCAAATATTAACGAGAATCTAACCAAAGAGATCTCAACCCGGATTTCTCTCAGTCTGGAAAGAGAGAGCAAAAAATGTTCATTATTGTGTAGACAAAACTAAAAAGGTTTTGCAGATGACACTCTCAAACATAAAATACGCCGTCCACGCTATACGCGTGCTGAATGTAACTATAACTATACAAGTGCCATTCTACTTCCCTTTTCTTTTGTGCTTTTTTGTTCTTTGAGTGCGCGTGCAATTCTGCTGGGTGTTTCATTTGTGTGGCTTGAACATGACAACACGATCATCGAGTGAAAAAATATGTGAAACATTTTTGTCTTTCGCTTACTTTAGTGGTGCTGGGAAGTAAGCTACGCAGCTTAGCGAGGTGGTTGTTGATCCTCTCTCGCCTCCTCCTCTCGGCCTCGCTGTGGCTCTTCGAGGCGGCCAGGGCTTTGGCGTCCATTATCTCTTGAGCCGTCATCTTCCCCAGCTCGGCTTGGAGACCAAACGGCGCGACAGTGGCGGTGGCACCCGGATGAACCGCTGCGCCCGCCGCAAGGGCGTCCGATAGGATCCGGAGATGGTCCGAAGCTGGGCCGCCGTCATAGGCGAATTGCAAGGGAGGGGCCCTTCGATTGAAGAAGCCGCCGTAGGGCGACGGTGGCAAAGGCGGCGGGGGAGGGAGGAGGAAGGGGTCGGGCTCGCGGACAGGGTTGAAGGCTGGGTGGGCCTGCGGGAGGGGCCATGGGAGGACGGACGGCGGGACTTGGAGGTCCGGGTGGAAGACTGCGCCGCCAAAAGCGTGGTCGTTTTGGTGGTGGTGGTGCATCTGGAGGAGCAGCTGTTGTTGGTGGTGGTAGTGATCTTGTAGGTGGTGGGGGGTGTTGTGGAAATTGTTGATGGTTTGCGAACACTCTCCTTGATCTTCTTCAATCTTTCCACTCATACCCACCTACTAAAATCTCACAACCTAAATTCAAGAAAGATCAAAGAGAAAACAAAAGCGAGAGTCCTTTTGCTTGTGGCCTTTGTGGGTGTTTCTTCTCCTTTCCTTCCCTCTGATACGACCAAAAATGAAAGCAAAACGGAAGTTTTTGAAGATGGTATGCACTTCTATGGACGAAAAGCACAAAAGGGTTATCAGAGAAAGAGTTTTACTTTCTAGGAAAGGATTGTAGGGAAGGGAAGACCTCTGCTCGATATACAACTGATGAAGAAGGATGGAGTTGATTCTCTTAGCTTCTCTCTTGTTTGGGGTTTGAGAGCTCTCTCTATCGCTCGCTAGTGGTGGTGGAGAGGAAAAAGCCAAGGTTTAAGACCAGTTGTGTGAATACTCTCTCTCAATCTCTATCACTTGGTAGGTTTGTCTGCGATTGCCCTTGTGTGTGTAGTGTGTGGGGGGCTTGATGAGACCCCTTTTTATCCTCATTGCCTGCAACTGAGTCTCTCTTGTGGGTTTTGTTGGTATCTTTTTGTTCCCTCTGTCTTTTCTTTTTTTTCTTTTCTTTTCGCGTTTTGATTTTTCTAATTTGCACCACTCTAAGTATATAGTCTAGGGGGCCTCAACTTTCCTTTCTTCTTACGGCATTCTCCATCAATATATACATGTAGCTATCAAAAGATATTGGTGGTGGTGGTGGTGGGGTGATCTTTTTTCTCGTTCTTTTCTCCCCTGTTTACATGCTCGGAAAGAATACTAAAATATGTTGCTTTGTGATTGGTTCAATGCGTATAATTACATTCTGTGAACACATGAGCGTAGGTCAGAGAGAGAGAGAAGCTAAAACACAAAGCAAGCACAGTGAAGGCAACACACAGATTGTCGACCGACCGAAGCCTCGAAAAAGGCTGGTGCATCGTCATGATAAAAGGCGAAGCTATGTTCTATCTATCATTCTCTTTTCTCTCTCCCTCTCTTTTTCCTTTTAATTTTCCTTTTGTTTTGCTTGTATGTTATTTGTTTATCGGTCAATTTATTTTATTTTATTTTTTTAATTGCCGGGGGGGCATCGTAGCCACCTTTCCTACCTCGGTCAAGCCCCCACGTTCTTCCATATTCAGCTCGCTATTTCCACGCCATCCCAAGACCTTGTAATCATTGTGTCTTGGAACACACTCCACCCTCTCTCTCCCCCTCTCTCCCTCGGCCTTCCTCAACAGTTTCTCCACGTATAACTTTCTCGTTTTCAGCAGGTCAATACACTCATGAGAGAGAGAGAGAGAGAGAGAGAGAGAGAGAGAGAGAGTGATTGTATATTATGGTTCATAGAGACAAGGGCACACACTGTGCTAGCTACAGAATTACTTACATCTCAATCAAAAAGGCCCCTACCCACCAATTCCAGCAACGATATCATACAAAGGTGAATTGGGTATTCAGCAAGAGATATATGCTGGAGGAGATGTTCATTTTGCATGATTGTTTAGGTTTTCAAAATGTTGGAATGAAATGGAGTGCCCGTGTCTCTATCTGTCCAAGCTTTTTGCCCGAGTATGGCTAATCCATTCATTGACATTATAATGTCCCTAAAAATGCATATGTGGAAATATTGGCGAAACAATGGCTAATCCATTCATTGACATTATAATGTCTTTAAAGAAGAATATTGAAAACATTAGTGAAATAGAAGTTGCGCAAATATGTTGTGAGGCAGTTCATAAAGTGGTTGATATAAGTTAATAGTTTGAGCTTTTGAGTGAAAATATATCTGATTAATTACATCAATAAACTTCATGTGAGCATTGCTCAATGCAAGGATGACTTGGGATAGGCGGCACACCTTGGCTGTTCTTGTCCATTTTGGATTTTTTAGAGAGTTTTAGCTTGATGTGCTTGGAGCAGGGTTGGTTAGGGATAACTCGGCCTATCCTTAACCCTTTTTAGTGGGGTTAGTGTTGCCCGGGTCCACCTAACACGTGATAGCCCGTGATTGGCTCATGTCCTTCGACACATGGTAGCCTTACCTTTTTTGTTTCCCTATAACAGGTTTGCCACATGGCATAATCCTATCAGCTAATCATCTTAGTCCTATCACAATAAATACCCCAATATTTCATTCGTTTTGGGAGACTTTTGGAATTTTGAACATCTGGAATTTAACACTACTATTGACCAGAGCGACGAACAATTGAGAAAATCTCCAAAACAAGTAACTAGACACTCCTCGCTTGCTACTCGGCATCCAGATATATTAGAATTGTCCGTTCCTCCTCTAATATCCTCCCTATTTTAACCTGTCTTTGGTATGTTTCTCGACGCTAACCCTTCTCAAGGCTCGGGGATCTCGTGAGAAAATCTCCTCGACCATTAGATAAGAATTTGTTTTGAATATCATCTGACTACACAACGCCAAGAAGATTTTTTTTCCCTAGTGGGTATGTAATTAGGAGTTTCAAAAGATTATTGTCACTCATCTGTTTCTCTCGTCACACCAGATAAATGTGACTCCTAAAAGAAGTATTGCTAATTTTTTTAGATCCATTGCATGTGTATCTACCATCTATTGTCTATGGGATATTTCCTTATGGACAAAAACGGAAAATTCAGTGAAAACCCTAAGATGAGTACTTTTAAGACACTTGCTAAGCAGACATTATAAGGAAAAATTCAATTATAAACTATGTTAATCCAACAAAAAAAGGAAAAAATGCATTAAGGATAATGCAATATTTTCTTATATTATACTTAACGAAGTATACCGGATCACTCGTTAACAAAGTTCATCCCTACTCGTGCCCCTTCTTCATGCTCTATAGGTAAGTTTCCTTCCATTACACTGGGAAAAAGAAAACTTTAAAGTTATGGAAATCACATAGTTGCTTGCTCCTATCAAGTTAAGAAGGCAAGAGAAGGCCAAAGCACAATGCAAATAATTATGTTTCTGGCCACTTCTCTTTCTCTCTTTTTTCTATATTTATAAACATGTGGCGTGGTAGCCCGTGCCTTCAATACAATCACTGCTTTATTCCACACCTCATAAACTAATAAATTGCATGCACTCCTTCTATTTTGTTTATTGTAATCTGGTTTGGCTTAAAGAGGTGAAGAAGCAATTGTCCCCAGTGTATTATTTTTGGCAAAAAACCAAGGGGCAAAAAGCCAAAAAAAAAATAATAATATTAATGATAATTAGAAGGAAAAGGAAAAAGAGGGCATGAAAAGGGGTGATCATCGCCTCGAAGCTCTCTTGACCAGCAAGGTCTGAGTAATTACACAGTCATAATCAGGTTGGCTAACAAAAGCGATAACAAGAAATCATTAAACCTACTCGCTTTTCATTTAACCTTTTAACAGCATAATAGGGTTCAGACAGAGATTGTGCGTGTTTGTGTCGCAAGACATTTCACGCTAAGATGATTCAAGCTACATTACGTCTAAGATAAGACATTCGACTTTTTAATCTCTAAAATAATTAAGGTCATTAAAGCCATTCAGACCTTTTCATAAGCTTTTTTTTCTTTTCTGAGGATTGAAAAGTAACTTCCTTTTTCTCTCCATTTTTTTTAAAAAATAAAATCATATCTGAAAGCGCGCGCGAAAAAAACTATAAAATACTATAGAATTGAGCATTTCATGTCTCTTTTTTCTTTTCCTTTCCTGCAAAATCACTAGTTTTTAAGACTTATGGAAGATTGATTAAATCCCATATCGAGAATCTATTCCTCACTTAATAAATCTTATTGAGAATATAAACTTTTCATACCTTTGTTATATAATACAATCGATGGATATATTGTATCGTTCCCCAGTACAAATCCATGCCATATTGACATTATTTATTTCCAATGTGCGCCATCTTGCTTTGGAGCTTCAACTCAGTTAAAATAAGAACAGTACGGGCTCATTAGGCCAGTCCTCTTCTTTCGTGTCTCTCCCTCCGCTATGCTGCTATTTGGCATGTCGAGATGCTGAGAGAAGAAGACGAGACCCTCTTTTCGTTTTCATTATTTTTCAGTTTATTTAATATATATAAATAGAAAAATCTTTTTTCCCGGGAGCACGCATGGGTACTTTTCGATTTGGTCCCCATGCTTTCATCTTTTTTCACCCCTTTTTTCGAATTCAATTCTATAATCTACTAATTTACATCTCTCCAAAGTTTCAAAGGTTTGATGATAATAGCACCTTCCACTATCTCAAACATACACCCACGAGAAGCGAAGCCCTAGCTTGTGGGGTTTATCATGACATCAACCCCACGCTGTCATGACGTCCGCATTTAACAAATAAGACTGTAGAAGATTATGTGAATATGTGAGCCACGTGGTGCGATTGCTTCGTTTTGAGGATTGTTCTCATGATATGTTGTAGAGATGATATTGGATGTCGTACAAGTTGTCCATGTTTTTATGTAATATCTGTTGGGATTTTAATATCCAAAATCCATAAATTGTGAATGAGAAGTGTGGATGGAAATAGTCCCATATTGGATAGAAGTTGTGATGGGAGATGGTTTATTTAGATGAGCCTCTCAAATGGATTTGGGCCCCAAGGGGTACCCCACTTTTGTGGAAGGGAGAGGACCTACGCCAAGCTAGGTCAGTCCCCCCGCGCGCTGCTGTCCGTCCGGCCCCGGGCCCATTCCATCAGTTTTTATTTTTTCCCGAACAGACACGTTTTGTTCGAAATTATTTATTTTTTTATTTTGGACAAACATACATGTATGTTCGTGAGGTTCGGTTCACCCGAACGAAAACCGCTTCGGTTCAAGTGAGCCTTCATTGCTCACGACTATTCATTTTCGCTATATATAACCGAACTGTTCTGTTCAATGTGGTGACTCTTGGTGGCATTTTATTCCCGCGAGACTTTTTTCCCGACACTCCCTACACATTTTCATTTTTTCCGCACTGCACTTTCTTCATCATTGTCATTTGTGCGATTATTCTGCGAAGTTGCGTTCGAATATTTCCTTTGAAGAAGTACCGCTTCTTTGGAAAGGCGATCCGTTCTATCCTGGGAGACAATTGTTTAACAACCTTGGGTACCGGTAGAGGGGACAAAATGTCTTAAGGACATAACATGAATTCGTTGGGCTCGGATCATTCGTCAACATTCGGATTAGTCGTCAGAACGTGACTTCAGGTTTGTCGAACAACTCTGTTTTGCATATACAAGCACTATTACGTGACAACAATATCCACGCATTTATTTTTGGCCAGCATGGTCTGCAATAATATACGTAACCTTTCCCAAGTTTATATGTCCATTTTGTTAAGAGTTGGACTTATCTCTGATTCCACACAGTTTGGAAATGAATTGCTACATTAGTAGGAAAATGCTTGTACGAATTCAAATTAGCATATCGTAGTTTGGAGCCGTGAGGATGTTCGATGGTGCCGAACGCCAACCTCACGTCAATGGACAATATCGTGCTGACGGCATTGCTCGGGTGGGACTATCTT